TTCCTCTCCGCCTGGTGTTGAGCGCCTGCGAGTTCCGTTTCGAGACCGCCCTGTGACCGGATATCGCAGACGCTTTCCAGCTCGAAGGCCCGCGCTGCCAGCGGGTGTCATTCTCGAGGTACGAGGACGACGCGCGCGTTGCATCACGCGCGTTGCGCGCTACGTGCGTGGATGGACTTGTCGAGAAGATATACAACAGCGAGGTCCCTTTCGACCTCAACGAGGAGCATGAGCGGTGCAACGGTGAGATGACGCAGAACATGTTTTTGGATATTGTGCTTGAGTTGGGCTTGGCGGAGGCGGTAACTTCCTTGCACTGCCCCAACAAGACATTCGCTCTCAACGGGCACGTCCCCAGCATCACCAAAAATCGGTTCCCGCCGCCTGTCGGGCCAGCGGCGCACATAGTCCAACGATTGTCTCAGTAGTTCATGAACCGCCGAGCCCGCTTGGCCCAGGCGCTTTTGACTGAGGCGGGTGCTGCATGGGTTTGCCTTTGGGCTTCTGCGAGCTTCTCCTTTTTCGGGAAACTTCCCGCGTAACGTAAGGAGCGCATGGATAGCATCCAGAGGCCATGACTCGTTCTTTGCCCTCGGCTTGGGGGCGTTGATTGATGTGGGGTCGATGCGTATCACACCCTCTGCACCTACCGGGCTGGACCCACACGTGGCTTTAAGATGGGAGGGTGTGTATTGCATCCCACCCATGGGAAAATCGATGCCTTGTGCATGACTTGCCACTGCCATGTATTGCTGAGTGCATGTTTCTTCAGGCTGGCTGCGAGCCAGGGTCGTGCACATATGCACGCCACGCTCAACTGTGTGCACGATGGTGGGCCCGATGCCGCTGCCCAGAATCTGCAAACAGGAGGTGTAGCCTTACTGCCATACCTTCAACAAATAGTGTGTTTGTGTGTCTGTGTGTGTCCGTGTGTCACATCGCTGGAGCAGCACTTCTGCAAAGCCGCCGACGCAAAAAGGGTGTCTGTGTGTTTGTGTGTGTGCGTGTCTGTCTGCATGCGTCTGCGTCTGTGTCTGTGTATGTCTGTGTGTGTCTCAGTGTTTGTCTGCCTGTGTCTGTCTGTGTCTGTGTGTGTGTGTCTGTGTGTGTGTGTCGGTGTGTATCTGTGTGTGGCTGTGTGTGTGCCTCTGTGTGTCCCTCTGTGTCTCTGTGTGTGCCTGTGTGTCTGTGTACCTGTGTGTCTGTATGCCTGCGTGTCTGTGAGTCTGTGTGTTTGTGTGTCTGTGTGTCTGTGTCTCTATGTGTCTGTATGTCGGTGTCTCTGTGTGTCTGTGTGTCTGTGTGTCTGTGTGTATGTTGCTCTGTGTGTCTGTGTGTGTGTCTGTGTGTATAATGAGTGTTTGCTCTTTTCCCTTTCTCCCGAGCGGCGTCCACACACCTTCGCGGCCCGATCGCAGCACACACAGCGCCGCTACTCTCATCAGTGCCTCGCGCAGAAGAGCGTGGCCTAGATGTCCCCCAGGTTCACATTGGTGTAGGGGCCGTTGCCGTTCAGGGTGCGGTTTCGCCGGCGACGCCGCTCCCGATCACGCCTTGCGTCGCCGAGCCTCACGCACGCGCCCCAAGCGCTGGGCAGCTAGCGGCGGTAGAAAGCGCCGCACACGCGGCACACCGCGTAGTCGGCGCAGCGCGCCCAGGTGTGCTGGCGCGGCGCCGCGCGAGCGGGCGGGCGCTGCTCCTCTGGCTGCTCCTCACCCGGAGGATCCGCTCCCTGCCTGCGGTCCGCGCCCTCGCGCCTGCGTCCCTGTGTCGCTGTGTCTCTGTGTCGCTGCGTCCCTGTGTCTCTGTGCCTCTGTGTCATGGTGTCGCTGTGTCTCTGTGCCTCTGGGTCGCTGTGTCTGTGTGTCTCTGTGTCTCTGTGACCCTGTGTCTCTGTGTCTCTGTGACTCTGTGTCTCTGTGTCTCTGTGTCTCTGTGTCATGGTGTCGCTGTGTCTCTGTTTTTGTGGGTGGGTGGGTGAATGTGTGCTGTGTGATGCGGGTTGTGTGCTGTGTGTTGTGTGTGCTGTGTGCTTTGTGTGCTGTGTGTTGTGTGCTGTGTGTTGTGTGTGCTGTGTGTTGTGTGTGTTGTGTGTTGTGTTGCGTGTGTTGTGTGTGCTGTGCGTGCTGCGTGTATTGTGTTGTGTGTTGTGTGTTGTGTGTGTTGTGTGTTGTGTAGATTGTTTGCTGTGCGTGCTGTGTGTGTGGTGTATTTTGTGTTGTGGGTTGTGTTGTGCGTTGTGTGTTGTGTGTTGTGTGCTGTGTGTGATGTGTGTGCTGTGCGTGCTGCGTGTATTGTGTTGTGTGTTGTGTGTTGTGTGTCTGTGTTGTGTGTCTTGTGTGTTGTGTTCTGCGATGTGTGTTGTGTGTTGTGTGTCGTGTGCTGGTGGGTGTGTCTCATGTGCTGTGTGGGTGTGCGTGTGTGCGGCGCGCATGTCGGGCCCTGATTTCTGTTGTTACTTTTCGCACCTCGTGGAGCAACACTCACGCCCCTCTGACGAATCGAACCCAGCATCCGTCCATCTGTTTGCCCAATCCCTCCAATCGTCGTGATACCACAAGTAACGGTTAAAAAAAGGAACAGCGGGAATTGTCTGGCCACTGCGAGCATCAGCCATGCGCAAGTTCCGCCACCTAAGGTGGAGGAATGGCCCGACAACCGGCGCCCCTCCGGAGCCCAAGGTGGTCCTGATTCTAGCGCCTTGGCTGCAAGTTGCATGCCTTCCCCGCAACGCAAACTTGAATTTGAGGTGGGGTTTCCAGCGGTCCTACCCCCTATGGATCCCGCCCGCCCTCTCCACTCCCCAACCCCACGATGGCCCTGGGTGACCTCCAACACGGTCAAAAGTACCTCCAAGTGGGCAATAGATTACGGTAGATGGCTTCCACGACTGTCCAAGATGGCCTCCAAGACGGCCACGATGGCCCCAAGACGGGCCAAGAGGCCCCCGAGACACACTGAGAGGCCTCCTGAAGGAACCCCAGGAGGGCCCGGAGATGCCAAGGTCATTGATGCTCGCTTGGCGCTTGATAGATTCTAGCGTTGGCGCTTCTTCGGGCCTCCGAAACCCATCCGACGGCCCAGAGGCCTTCAAGATGGCCCCAGGACGCCTAAGAGGCCAAAGAAAGGGCCCAAAGAGGGCCCTACGGCGCAAGAGAGCCCCAATATTGCCGCAAGGCAACCAAGACGGCCAGAAGAGGTCCCAACGACGGCCCAGGAGACCTTCAGGGCGGCGCTACAGTACCTAAAGAGGCCCCCAAGAGACTAGAAATTTGACCTCCCCCCAGCAGGGTACCCGAGCGCGGTGGCGGAATCGCGCGCAGCGCAACTGGATAAAGCTGATCTATGCGCGTGCACCACGTTGTACCAAGATGCGCTGAAAGAGAATGAAAAGCTCATCGCGACATTTGGAGTACAAGCCACCAATATATGTGCGCGTGAGGCCGATGCGTACCATTGTGTTGGCCACAGGAACACAACGCGCAAACATCGTTCCGCCTCGCCATGTGGTATGTCCGGGGGTTGAACATGTAGGCACCAGAATAGTGTGCGGATGTCTGGGTACTTGCCGATATGGCAAGAGCTCGTTCCACTAAGCATGCGGTGGGCAACGAGAAACAGTCTTGCTGTATAACGGTGAGCAGGGCGAAATGCATGCGGCAGGCGAAGGACAAGGGGCAGAAGGGCATGGCCGCGTCTAAAGCTGGCCTCAGCAATCGGGAGCGTCAGATGTAGCGGCGCAGCGGCTTTTGCGTCCGCCTGTAAGGACGGAGGTACTGTGGGATTGTGGCCACGTCTAGGCGTTGCTGGATTGGTATGCCGGTGGCTAGTGTCCACCACTCCAGAGTTCACTTCAATGAAGCTTTCGGTGTACGCGTGTCTAGGTCTTCTGGGAATAGCGAACACGTTTGTAAACCACTGGTGGCAATATGACGGTGGGCGTTGAATGAAAACCTGGTCTGGGGAAACAACCGCCCTGGCGGACTGATGGACGCAGCTAGGCCAGGGCTGGCAGAAGCAGAATCGCTGTGCACCCATACCGCCCCAGCTGTAACACGAGAACCCTGTACTGTATCACCTGCACTTCTCAGCCAGAGGCAGGCGCCCGAGAACCTACGCGGAAGAGATTAGCGACCCATGCTGAACACGGACAATGCCGTAGCTGGCGCGGTCAATCTCTCGAGAACGAGGCAGGCCTGTATTGCTGGTGTCGCACGGCAGTTGCAGCCGGCGACGGTGTATGGCGCAGAGACAACGCATGTCAAGACTCAAGAGACGCGCACAGATTCGGAAGCCGGGGACGTAGGACCCCTCAGGGTTTTGGTAGAATGGCAGCCGACTTTGGTCAGTGGGCACCGGCGTGTCGGCAGCGTGCTGCAATGTTGCATTCTGCTTGGTAGGACCTGCGGGCAAGGAGGGCATGGAACGAATCAGTGACATAATGATTAGTGTACTCGGTTCCGCGGGTAACTGCCTGTCGAGAAGGGCGGAATTGTAAGTAGGCTGTTCTTTGGCGGCGCTGGCTGGTTTGGCTGTGGAAGAACCAGCGTACGCGCCACCATGACTGCGGGAGGAGGGAAGAGGAAGGACAATGAGAAGGAAGCGAGTATGAAGGATGATGGACGAGGAAAGGGGGAGAAAGGAAGCGAATAGGGAGGATGACTGATGAGGAACGACGACGCAGGAAATGTGCACGGGGAAAAGCAGAAGTGCTGGACGAGCGCGCCGTATGGTGCCCCGAAAACTAGTGTTGCAACTATTCATGAGAACTCCTGTCACGGGAGCCCCCCAACCCGCCTCCCCCCTGGTGGCGTCACGATCAGCGCCAGCGCTTTTTGAGAATGGCTCGGGGTAGTGAGTTTCCAGCGCGAGCGCAAATCGCGAAAAACAAACCACCACTCCCACACACCCACCTCCCCCTAATACCAATAACGCCCGTCTTCACCAGAGGATAAGAAACAAGATCCAACATTAGGTGCCCCCAGCTTCCGTCAAGATGGGTACCCACCACTGGCCGATGTTGCAGATAGAGACCGAGACTGCGATGATCTCCAGAAAGAGATTCGGGTTGGTTGCGATACGGCGGAATGCGGCAGACCAGCCGTAATGCTGCCACTCTGGGTCAACGTGAATCACCGCGATCCGCAGCACTGTGATCGCCGCGAAGAACAGAGTGCTGCCCAGCTCGACAACGAAATTCAGCGTGAGTTTACCGCCGTAGGCTTTGGCCTGCCAACCATCACCTAATTCATCCTCTGGGCGAGGAGGACCGGGAGGAGAGGAGGAGGTGTCTTACTAATCCTCCTCCTTCTCCTTCTCCATCGTCTCCACATCCTTGCCGTACTCCTACTCGACCTCCTCCTCCTCCTCCTTCTCCTCCTCGCCCTACTGTCCTGGAGCTCTTGAGCGTGTTCCCAGACATCTCCGTAGCATCCTCCCTTGAAGTCTTTGTTGTCCCCGTCCATCCCCTCGTCCGGCCCAAAGTACTTCGCGTCCCCACCTGGCATGCACCATAGCTCCAGCTTTACCTCGGTGATCTCTGCGTAAGTGTAGAAGTTCAGTATAGCAAGGAGCACGATTGCGGCGTTCAACGACTGCGCGAGGGTGCTGTTGCCGTAGAGGGCCTCGTAGATACTACCCAATGCTCCACTTGGCTCACTGACGGAATACCCCACCGGCTTGTAAAGAAGGATGTCGTCTGTGAACGAGTACAGAACGAGACCCACGACGATGCTGATAAAGATGAAGATCCAACCACACTGTAACCAAACCTTGTCTGCCCTGCTCATCAGCTTGTACGGCTCTTCCCACTCATCATCATCATCATCACCGTCATCGTCTTCGTCATCAGCGCTCTCCTCCTCGTCGCCTCCGTCTTCTTTCCGCCTTGGGCCTATGTCTCGCTCGGTCGCCCCCGCAGTCAGCACTGTCACCGTCTGTACGGCTCCGGGCTCGTCTTCAAACTCCTAGCGGAACAAAATGGCGCGACGAGATCTATACAAATCCACAGCCCCTAGCAAGGCACATCCTAGGCCCGGTGCATACGCCGACCTAGCTTGGCCAGAACGGAATATGCACCTATCCTGCGTGCAGGATGGGCCTGGGCAGAGGCGGTGAATATGTACAGATCTCGCAGCCCGACAAAACACAGCGTACGCAGAAACCCTCGGAGGCCCTAGAGGAACTCCGAGGGCTTACGGGTAGAAAGCATTGCTTAACGTGTCGCTGCGGCGGCCCCTGCGATACGCTGTACCTGGCGAGCTGAAAGCGCGAAAGCGTGTCGCTCTGCTTCGTAGGGCGGAAGGCCGGGAAGAGCTCGGAACTTCGACGTCTGGGGACCGAGACGTGCTCAGCGTGCCGCGTCGAAGCGTCGTGTGCCAGAACAGGCGGCGCGACACGCTAAGCAAACGCACCTAGCCGTATGCGTCACGCAGCGTTCGGTGGTGGGCAGAACTCCCTTTCGTTTCCAAAGCGCCCCCGACTAAAAACCACCTCGGACTAGACCCGCAAACATTGCGGCCGCAACACCCTCTCGAGAACCGAAGAAGAGAAATGGTGGACACCTTCCAGATCGGGACCGGGTGGATGGGGTCGGAGAATGTCGCCGCATCGCCAATGCATCGCCGATGCATCGGCGGCGTCGGCGATGCATCGCGCCGTCGGCGTGGAGAAATGAGGGCTACACATCGAGCCGCATCGGCGATGCGGCGCGATTCCCTGACCCCGTCTACCCAGACCCCAGTTGGGAGGCATGGAGACTCGCTGCCAACCTCCCAATACATGTTGCATCTTCGAAAAACCTTGTCTGTCCCGTCGCGCCGCTAACCACGTCGAATCCGCGTCGAATCCATGACGAAGCCGCGTCGAAGTCCGCGTCGAATCCGTGGCGAAATCAACGCCAAATCCGCGTCAAATTCACGTGGGGCATCAGAAAAGACCGCAACTGACAGGACAGGCGAGGCCCCTCGAAGACACGGCGTAACAGAGTGCAGGTCGAAGGAAGAATCTGCATAAGCATGAATCCTACACCTGGCTCGAATTAAAACAATTGCATAAACATGATTCCACTGACTTCCGCGCGGAATTCTTGGATCGGCGCTGGGGCCCCCTGGTGGCGCCTCAGGCGCCGGCCGGGACTCCAGCGCCGATCCAAGAAATCCGAGCGGACCTCCGAGAAAGTATGTCTATGCCGTTGCTCTCTCCTCCAACAAAGATGGGGAAACCAAAAGGTACCGATGCCGCTACTCCCATGACTTCTCCTGGGGTGCGTTCTGGCCAGATTTTCGAAACGAATCCAGGGGTGCATAGAAAAACACTGGAATCCAGAAGATGGAACGCTGGCATCCGGAGGTTAGGGCTTCTACTTCGAAATCTCTCTCCCCATACATTGGAAAATAGTTAGAAACAACCGAATATGTATACACATACATACATACACAACCAAAGGGAAACGACGAGAAACAACGATTCACAGAGATAAGAGAAGAGGTTGGAACACCA